ATGAAGTATTCTAATTTGTTGAGATAGGGAATTGGTGGGTTTTTGTTAAATGTGAGCCAAAATCATCACAATTAAAAGAACCAAAGACTTAAACTACTTCAGTCTGTGTGCATTGAATTTATTTAATACACAAGTTTCACAATTTGAGTTGAATTACTGAAATAAATGAACTTTTCCACGACATTCTAATTTATTGAGATGCACCTGTACGGTTTCAACCTAAGCCTGTCCTCATTAAGGGATTCATATTTCTGTCTATGAAAAATAAATGCACAGAAATTAATAATAGACAGATACTAAACTATGTTTACAAATAGAGCTGTGCAACACATCAGGCATCAGGAATAAGCATGAAAAATAAATAAAGCAACCGTGCCAGAGGTCTTGTGTATGTGTTGTGTATGTTTGGATTTCAAACATATACTGGTCAGAAATCTCAGTGCTCATGATACATGAGCGATATCACATAAGCAGCAGAGGAATATGGCTCTATATCAGCATGGCTGTATGTAAATTGTACGTTTCAGCATCAGTCAAAACTTACATAATTGTAAATGTTACATACTAATTCATACGTTTAAACAATTAGACCAGGCTGACAAGATATGACAAACTTCTGTGTTCACCATGTGATGTTTGATGGGTTTATGAAATTGTGGACAGGAGTTGGTAAAACGTACTCATGATTTCATTAAAACGAGGTAACAAAACAGTAAAACGTACTCACAATTTTCTTAAAACTGTGCACATGATTTACTTACTTTCTTTATTATTGATATTATCAATGTATATTACTAATATTTGATTATTATTGACGTTAAAGATCTTTGGCTGTGTTTGCATAATGAATACGCCTTCATCTGAGGGTGACTGGGCTGATGTTGGGTATAAAAGGTGACTAACAAACAAAATGAAGAAATTAATTTTTGTTCACTATTGTTCATTACTACGGTAAAGCTAATGGCATTGCGTTATGTGCGGCAATGTCATTTGCCCTTGACTGGGAAACTGGTAAATAGCCATTAGTATTCCATTTGGGATGAGACCACCCTTCTCAAATTGAGACATTAGTAAGATCAAGCCCTTCCTAACAGAACTCGTCCAGGAACTTGTCATTTCTAGTCTGGACTATGGTAATGCTCTTCTGGCTGGACTCCCAACATGTGCAATCAAACCTCTGCAAATGATCCAGAATGCAGCAGCACGTCTCATTTTCAATGAGCCCAAGAGAGCCCATGTCACACTGCTTCTCATCTCTCTGCACTGGTTTCCAGTTGTGGCTCGCTTCAAGTTCAAGACCTTGG